ACTTGGAGAGGTCTTGGGACAAGTTACTTGGCATTCCAAGTAATCAGGTATCTCAAGTATTCACAACACAAGTTGACTCACAAGTATATCAAACCTCGAGTATTTCAGCTTATCAGAGTACATAAGCATGGTCAAATCCATGCGATCCAAGATGTCCTGGGTGTTTCCTTGCCTTGGACAAAGATCAAGCTGCTTTCTCTCAAGTAATACCCGCAGGGCTTTCACCACCTTCGAACTGAGCAGCTTTGTATTATTTGGAACCAAACCAACCAGATCATAAAGCAGACCTGCAACTTTGGACAGCCAAGATCCATTCACAGGTGTTTGCCAGGTCACACCGATCGGCCCTCCTGGAGGAGGAGAAAGTTTCCATCAGGCTAACAACTATACAGTGTGACAGGTGATATCAGTCGCACGCCATGCGGCTTGGCGAGGCCCCGGTGGAAAATGCATGCGCGCGCGTGTGTGTCTGTTTGCGCGTGTGTGTGTGTGTGTGCGCGCGCCTGCCATTGCCGACGCGTATATATGTCTAAGTGCGCAGCGTCGATGGTGAGCGGCGCGGCACTTGGTGGTTCACCTAAACGAAAGTTCCACCAAAATGACCTTGGGATCATTCTAGCAGTAGAAATAAGTGAAAGGTGCAAGTTGAAAACAAAGGTCCGACGCACGCTATTTAATCGGGTAGTGTTCTTAACAGGTAACAGCTACACGGGATTGCTTACAATGGGTACACTTGCTTCCAACCAATAAAATCAATGGGAAACGCCCCTTTCCTCCAAGGATTCTTTGACGAGGCATTTGCCTTGCTTACAAGAGTCAAGTGGTAGCCACACCAACAAACAACTCTCTCTTCCCTTGCAGACGGCCGCCACGACCAAGATCTTTTGGCCTGCCCTGCCATCGAAGTCTATAGGTGCCTGGGCTGCTGAGTCGGATGCCTCACCTCAAGGATCTGCGGCCAAGCAGAAAGGCACACACGCCTATTCAACGGACCACCCAAAATCGTGCCGAGAAAGGGCTTAGGTGGGACCTGGAGCTTGAACTGCATGCATCACATGTTGAGAACGCCTACAGATTTTCTTGCTCATTTGAAAAGATGGAATGGCTGAGGACAACCATTGGGCTCTGGTTCCGTGATCTGCCTGATCTGCCTGTTGTTACACCTAAGAAATGACTTCGCTTTGAGCTCCGGTATGTAGCCAGCATAAAGAAACACCAGCTGCGCGGACTCATCGCATTCAAGCCCGAAACATACAAACCCCTACATTGATTTGAAGCGTGTCTCGATCAAGTTGAATTCGCTTGGTCTCACCTGGGCATCTCTTGTTCAATGATTGATTACCCCTTCATTGCGCGCAACACCGGTTCCAATCCGCTTGGCAAACCTGATGAAACCGGCGAGGGCTCCTTCAGAAAATCAACGGCCTCCGCCGGCAGGTCCAGGCATTCTAAGCCATCGTCGGGTCGCTCCACTTCTCGAAAATCGAAACTTTCAAGGATCTTCTGTTACAAGGGTCTTTCAATTGCCCGCGGAACCGCTTTCCTTTCGCGCGTCCTTTTCCTTTGGACTTCCTCTTGGCCTGACTGACTGGGCTTGCGAAAATCAATGGCCTTTGAATCGATCTGACAGCCTCTTCAATTCCGGGCCTCAGCATATGTCGCGCGCGCGACGGGCAAGGTCGGAGCCGGAGTCTTTCTGGATTGTGTTTAGCATAGACTAGTTCTAGTCCAGGATCAAGGCTGCATCCTCATCTCCCTCGTTGGCACGCTCAATAATGAAGTCTTCCTCAGTCCAGTCTCCTCTTGCGCCAGGAATGCATTGGCCTGTTTTTCGGCGCGCGTTTTGTGACACAACATCCTGATACTCCAGGGATCCTGAGGACTCTATGATCAGAGCTCAAAGCTGAATTGGATGTAGGCCCTGAATCATCCATCCCAAACTTCATTCCCAAGAGCTCTTCGAACTGATCACTGGCCTCGTCTCATCGCTGCACCGCACTGTAAGTGGCTCTCTCGAACCCTTCAAACTTGCTTTCAATGCTCGGCTTTCCCCAGGTTCCTCCAACATCACAATGGCCTTCACGCCCTCCTCAAAGTGTTGACTCGCAGGCTCTTTGGATCCAGTCGAGAAACTGTCTGAGAGTCTGAGAGGCGGCCAGGTGTTCGAGATGTCTGGTGGCCAAAGTTGGGCGAAGAACTCCACTCTGGCAGATCGGTCTCACCGATGAGAAGGCCCGCCGTTTCTGAAGACTTGTTTCTCCAAATAACTTTCGTCGCGCACTTTGAGCATTGGGCCTTTATTCAACCATGCGTATTGAGATGGCGCATTTCAGTGCCTGAATCAAAACGTGTATGTTTTTGTTGGGTGTTTTCAAAAGGTCTGTGATGGTTGTACCTGAAATAAGCCTATACGCAACACAGCCATACCAACTATATTTCACAACTTCTTTTTGGCAACGTTCAACTTCTTTTGGTAACTTTCAACTTCTTTCAACAACTTCTTTCGGAAGTTGCAAGTTTCTTTTACAACTTCTTCTCAAAGTTAGAAACATTTTTCACATCTTCTTTCAACATTTCAACATTCTTTTAACATCTTTTGAACTTTTGACAACTTCTTCTAAAACTGAAAAACTTCTTTCAACAACCTTTCCAAAAATCTAAATACCGTACATAATACATATCTTTGACCGATTCCTTTAGCCTCAAAACAAACACGACGCGGGCGCACAACAATGACGTGGATGATTCCATGGTTGCTCGTTCAAGCCGACCTCCGACCCCCAGACAGAAGCGCAAAAGAGCGCTGCATCCTTTTACACAGGCCGGAGGCTGACGTCGCAGTTTCGCGGCCCGTCTCATCGGGACTTACGCTCCCGGAGCTTCCGCTTCAGCGCGGAGACTCCATGGCTCCGGCTCGCGGCCGCGCTGGCAGCTGCCACTGCTTGTAGGGCCCTCTCCAGGTCCTCCGAAGTTGACATGCGCAGTGGACAAAAGATGTGGTTTGTAACTTTCACGTTGTGGAGCGTCTTTTGAAGCAGGCGGCCTTGCCTTCAAAAGGGTTCCTGATTGGTCCTGTATGGATCGATAAGATCATGAAAGGCGTCAAAACTTGGAGATACGGGGAGAAGCCACCAAGCACAAAGTGGCTTGTGGAGACTTGGTGAGACACAGCCGTTGCTTTTCTGAGTGTGCTTGTGTCATACTTTGAGAATGGTACTATGCAATTTTCTTGTAAAATATGTTCAGCGCACTGTATTTTAGCTTGCAATCCGAGTCCAGGCATGTAACGCAATCGAAGGTTTGGTGGCTCGTGGACTGGTCCATGGAATGGCTAGGGCTGTTGAACTGGAGCGACTGATTCCATGGCAGATGACTCAGAGACTCCACCGAAGAAGTCTGTCCCTGACATTCTCTTCCTCCCTCAACCACTCTGTTCAAGAACAATGCACTGTCAACTTGCACGCAGTGTTACAACCAATGTACCACGCAAAGTATCAAGCCCTGTTCCAAGCAATGTAACACGCAACGTAGCCATCAATGAAACAACCCCAAGAATGTTGTAACACTGTATCTGTATCTCTCAACAACAACAACAACAACAACAACAACAACAACAACAACAACAACAACACCAGCAACAACAACAACAACCACGACGACGACGACGACGACGACGACACCAACACAACGTTTACCTCAAGTGTCAAGAGTGTTCCCTGTCGACAGCTGGAGCTTTTGGAGCAGAGCTCCGCTACCAATTTCAATTCGCAGCCACACCAACAAACAACTCTCTCTTCCCTTTCAGGCGGACGCCACGACCAAGACCGTTTGGACTGCTGTGCTATGGAAGTATGCCTGAACTGCTGAGGCACCTCACCGCAAGGATCTTTGGCCACGCAGAATGGATGGAACCTGGTGTTTGAACTGCATGTGTCACGTGTTTACATTCACATATATTACGCTTTATGTACCAGAAGGGCGAGCATCCGGCTGACGTGTGTGACTTTCTGACTGGCTCGGGGTTGGGCATTTGTGTCAGATTGACCAGTGAGTGGGCATGATGCCAGGACGCTCTTCGATTTGTTGTATTCATACAAATGCGTTGTCGAGCGGGCGCAACTGCACCCCCACAGACGAAGTAAACGTTGTTTGTGTAACGATTCCAATTCAGGTGCATTATAAAAACTATAAAAAAGATCATGTTTCCTGGGCCACTTGGGCCAAAAGCGATTTTGGGATTCGATGGCTCACAGGCCTATGTAATGGCTTGGGCCACGTTTCAATACTGGCAAGGTATACGAGATCGCAATGTGCCTTCTTTTTTGCCGGCTCTAGGACTTTCAAGTGGTGACAAATGGTGGTTGGATTGAAAACAGTTTTAGTCAGGACACACACCGGAGACTATCCTTCAAAGGGAGTAAGGCTCATTTCAACCCACAAATAAATAATCTGATAAACAAAGCTGTTGCCAATTTGAGACAAGCACGCATTAATGCTGTTCTCAATCTGCATGTGTAAAGACATACATATAATATATATATATTGCTGCATAATTACTGTATCCCTGCCCGTTCCTCAGGGGATGTCAGTTGCGTCAAAAATGTAAATGTAATTTCATATACTGGGTAATGACCTCAAAAATGTAGTTTACAATGTTTAAGCCATGTGGGGCGTTTACATTTTTGTGAATGCACTTTGTGCGTCTTTGTGTTGCTGTCTCAGTGCGCGCATCTTGCCTTGTTCTTCCCGCTGCTCTGCTTGCTGGTGTGCTTTGGCGAACATTTCAGGAGGAACACCTACGATTTGGAGTATGCTAAAATATAGTTAATTCATTGGGGCAGCCCAGTTCTCTGTAAATTCTGAGAGATTGGGGATGTGGCCCCCACAGAAAATGTAACTTAACTTTTGAGGTCTCCCCTCCCGGAACCATGTTGGGAGGGTAGGATTTCTGTATACTAGGTGAAAGCGGTTGACAGCTCGCCCATCACCCAAGCCCTATCCTCTATCGAGTCAAACTCTTCCTTGACAAGCTCGGTCTCCTTGGCGGATCTTTGCGGGTGAAGGATTCGAAATCAAAACAAAAGCTTGACAGCCTTCCGTCCGAATCTGCTGCAGCCCTTTATTCACAAAACGATTGACTCCTGCTGCTGCGCAATTAATCCCATGCGCGCTTCATAGGCCTTTTGCAATGTCTCCTGCATTGCCTACGAGTGAAAGTACCGAAGTTTTCTTCCAACGGCAGTTTCCATCAGCGCCTTGAACTTTTCAAGCTCTTTTTGCATCTCCTCACATTTCAGTAGGTCAATCGAAACGTGGCGCAACTTCCTCCGGTCCTGCTCGTTGACCGGCGCCATGGCCACGCATTCCTCATAGTGCCACACCGCTTCATGGTTTTCAAAACGAAGCAACCACATTGTTAAACGTAGTTAAACTGCGCTTGGCTAAAAAACCTGTAGAAATCCACACTTGCGTCTGGGAAGAGGAAAGCTGCGCTGAGCTGTCCAAGAGCCTGACCCAAGCCTCACCAAACTGCAGGCAGACCGCTGGAATAACCCTAAGAAGGCTGCAGAAGGGAGATGGGGAGAGACCAAAGATTGGATGGGCAGCAAGTCAGTACCCAAAGTGATACAGCCTGGAAGTGCGATTTCGCCAGCTTTGGAGATGTGCATTGCATGCGTATCTTGAGCCGTGCAAGCCGTGTGCATTTGGCATGTGGGGCCACTCTCCAGTCTATCATACTGGTTGGAAATATGGGTCACAGCACGCACCACAGTAGGATGTGGCACCATCGCCAAGCACCCCTAGCTTGCGAAGGCTCGACTCTGATCGCATTGGAATAGTCTATGCCTTTGGAATGCTGTCGGGGCAAGCTAAGCAAAGATTGAGCGATCTAATCTCCGGTCGCACTCAATCTGCCAAAGGGTGTGCATGCGCTGCCGTGATGGCACAAAAGGCTGCTTGGCCGAAGCTCTGACACGCTAGCCAAGACTGATTTGGCATGCAAAATACTCTTGCCTTCCATCGTGCACTGGAAGGGAGGGTCGAGTCAAACGTCCTCAAATAAGCGCAGTTGTGTGATTTGCCACTTGGCGGTTCTCATATGTCCTCTTAAGTTTATAGAATAAATATAATCACGTGTGTGTGTATGTGTGTGTGAGTAGATCAAGCAAGGGCCCCAAGTACTTCAACTATCCCGGTTGAAACCAGCTCTTGTGCCACCGCAGCTTGGTTCTCTCTCCATTTCCAAAACCCACTAGCTGAGCGATCATGTCGATTATTGTAAAGGGCGCAAGAAAGGACAACCATCGGCTGCCATTGCACGATTTCGTCGACCTTTGTCGAAACTACATAGTCATGTGACATTGTATTGGGCATTGAGTGTATTATTGGAGCAACATGTTAATTATCTGCATGTTGCAGCTTGCAAGGCACCGCAAGGCGTGCAGCGGTGTCTTGTGCATCCGCTCAATTGATAGGTTGTTGAGGTATGTGACCAATTGCCGAAAACTGCCGGTGCCTTTGTAGATCGCAAAAGAAGTGTGCCGTTTGATGAATCTTCTGAAAGCATGTCCTTTGCAAAATTGAAGGCAACAAGAAATGTGACAAATAATCGGCAGCAAAGTTGCCACTAGCTGTACAACACCCAAGACTCGGCAGGCATCCTCTTAAAGGATGTAGCCGGAAAAGCTCTTCTATACTCACAAGCCTACGCGGTCGCCATCACGCGACATTGGTCTGCGACCCTGCAACATGAGACTTTGCAGCAACGGTTTGCCAACATGAGAAACTGGAAATTGTGAGCTGTGCTTGCAACACAACTAACTGCTGTTTCGTTTGGCCCGTGAGCAAACGCCTGGCAAACCAGTATATCACACCCGGCAGAAATTCATAGGTTCATTCAAGGGAACAAAAAACATCAGCCTGGAACCTACAATGTCACAAGCAGGCCTGTCCTAGGTTTACAACAATGGAGTATTACACAACGATATGTGTCTTTTATGCTGTGTGCACCTGCCTGCTGGATCTTCTGAGGCATGTATATGTATAACTACTCTAACTGTGACTGAAAAAAACAAGAGTAGTCGACAAAACCCAGCTTCGGGAATATGTCCAGGATATACAAAAGATCATGTCCAGCTCACAAAAACAACATGTTAATACACAAGTCATGCTTCAACAGCAGGGAACAAACCTGTGAAGAGCTTGTTGCCCAATTATAGTAAAGATTGTTGTGTCAGGGCTGGTTTGGAGTCTGCTCAACTCTCCACATACTGCAGTCTGGTTGTGATCACCTGTTCTTCACTCAGGCTGTTTTTGGTTTATCAGGCTCAACCGTTTGAATTTCATGCAAGTGCACGCCATATCTTGGATTAACTTTCCAGTGCGTTCCCATCCTTCCCATCCTTCACTGAAAACCCCAAGAAATGTGTGTGAGTGTGCGTGTGTGCCCCTTGTAGTCACAGGGATCCTTTTGGGTTGGCTTTGACGATTTTTCTTTTACCGCAGGGGGATGGAGAGGACATGTGAGGCTCCATCCAACGAAGCTCCTCACATGATCCTAGGATATCGGCAAGGACGCTTGCCGACGTACCTGCATTCAACTTTTAATCTTTTGGTAAAGTGCTAAAGCATCTGCAGATGTGAGCGGCCGTCGTCATCCTGTCGCCTCGACCTCGACTTGCGCTTTTGGCCCCATTTCCTTTTGAAGACCTCCAGGATCCGTTGGTTCCTACTTGTACTCTTAGGAAATGGTACCCTAGGCCGGCGTGTGGCACCGCTGTCAGTTCAATACACCCAATCATAAGTGTGTGTGCACGCGCGCTTGCGTCAAGAGTCAAGAGACGACCACGACAATTGTGTGGGGTTGAAGATGCCCACGGAGAAGCCGTTTTTGTACATCACCAAAAAACACAATGTGTTTTACGGTGTTTTAGTGTTTTGGTGCTTTTTAAAGAGCACCTCATTAAAGGGCCTTTTTGGTGCTGCATGGAAAGGTTCATTGTCTGCTTGTTGCTTCATTGCGCTTGCCTGGCGGCGCCTCAGCTCGCTGAGTGGCGACATCTGCGCGCCTGCCACGTGAGGGATGATTTTGCTGGGTGGTGAATGTCTGCACATTGCAAACAATATTGTAATTACCTCCTCAGACTCAGACATGTCTGAATGTAATTGCAAGGCAAGACATTACATCTGTGATCATACAAATTGGTCTGCACAACAAGCACATTGCCTCCTCCCTTGCCTCCAATCTCGCACGCTCGAGAATCTGTCACTCCCACAAACCTGCAGACAGGATGGACAAATTTCAGACAAATCGCCGTTTTAAAGTGACTGAAGAAAAAAACAAGAAACGCGGTACAGTTCTTCGCCATATTTTGGGTCTATCCTAATACCTGTAACAGTGGATGATGATGGTTAGTAAAGGCCTTGTTCAAAAATAGTAATATAAGTGTTTTTATACTGGCTGTTGCAGGTAATATGACAGACCCAAGCCATATTATATACCAACCGATCTTAAAAGCCTCAAACATGCTCTTGACTCTTGACAATTCCCCCACTATTCTGGTAGAGTGTTGCTGTTCTCACATAAATATTGACACTGATGTAGAGTGGCTGTGGTATATGCGCACCCATCGCGAATTGAATAGACAAACCCTCAATTTCAAACATGTTCCAGTCTGAGATGGAAGACCCAGCATCATATAGTTCTCCGGCTAGCCTTTTGAGTTTGGGTGATGTGTTCTTATATATATATATGTTGGTTAGACCGGTCGGTGTACCCTATTCTGCTTTGCCCCAACATTCATTCATAGGTCGGTTGGCTGATCAAAACACCCTGAAACAATTCGGGTTGATTCTTGCAAAGTTTGGTCGGTTCTGTGCGAAAGTCAAAAGTTTCCGATTTCATGTACAAGAAGTAGACAAAAGCCTTGCAATGTGAGGTTTTTGTCTACGTCTTGTCTTGTACATAAAATTCTTACATGCATCACAAAGTAATATAATGATATAGTACATGGGGTCGAACTGAAACAAACTCAAGTGAACGAACAAACATAAATCTTATATAAATTCACGCTAAAAACATGTTGAGTTTGTCCGAAGTGAAAATCGCTTTTGGCACAGGAAACAAAACAGCTCATATTGTAAAGCTGCAAACTGAATGGCTTTGTTTCTCGTAGCTAGACGCAACACATTTGCACTTCTTAAAGAGTCCAAACTACGCATGATCCATAGGGAGGTCAAATGGCTTTTAAGAAGTGCCAAAACCATCACACATGTCGGTGGCTTTCTTGAAAGAAGGACACGCCACTGTCATTGACGACAAGCTCTGTTTTGATGCGAGAACTACAAGAATTCATTCATAGGATCCATTTGTCAAGAACAGTCTTCCTTGAGTCTCGGCTATCTCTCTTGAAATTCTGCCAAATTGTGCCGAAAGCAACCCCAGTCCATTGCCATTGAGACCACTAGAGTTTGCTGTTCTTCGCTCGCCAGTTGGAACAGTGAGATGCCTTGCTGTTTCATGACTTATGTATATATATATATATTTTTTTTAGAGAGAGGGAGAGGTAAACAGGAACAGAAAGGAATCAAACACAGAACGCCTGCCGCGTGAGGACATCTCTGACGATTGAACGTGATGCACATGGTGTTCTTCGAGCACTTCAAGGTCTTCCATTTGCCTTCAAGCAGCACAGCTGCCCAACCAGTGCAAAATTCTGAGATAGCAAGCTACTACAGGATACTACGGGCACGTTCAGCACTTAATGAACTTGATGTTTTTCACCAAATTAATGATGTTTTTGTACTAGTTTTTTGCCTGAGGTCGTCCTCCAACAATTCAAAGGTCTCCGGGACGACGTAGGTCTCTTCGGACTCGTGTTCGCCCTTTCAAGACAAATCTCCAACCACAGCACTCATGTCTAACAGGCTTGTAAGGCACTTGATGTCTAAAAAGGATAGAGTGCCTCTTCAACTATTGTCCGCCACTGCTCCTTTGCACCTCATCACAGCCAGTCCATTGGCAAAGCACATCTATCAGGCACCGGGAAAGCCTCCTTCAGGTCTTTCTACCTCTTCTTCGGCTTCTGCGGAAAGATCCATCTGCACGACCGCGCATACCAGCTTATCACTGTTCACAGCGGCAGCCCTTTGCAACAAAGGTGTAGTCTGCTGCAGCTTGCCTCATTATCGAAGTTCTTGTCGCAGAAGTTTCCAGTCACATTCAGGAGAAGCTCCGGGCTCCGCAGGATATTCATCAACTGCCATATCGCAAAATGCAGGAATTCATTAATGAAAGGCAACGGACCTACCAAAGGTCAAAAAGCAAGGACCGTCGTGGTCCTCGAACGCGAACGCGCCGCTCCGTTTCTCAGCTCGAGCCCCGCCCTTCCGGGGCGACGTGTCAAAGGTTCATGACATGCGACCTCATGCGCACATCCCCCACACTTCCTGAACCTTTGGCTCACAGAAGTGGAGGATATTTCACAACCTCATCTTCTGCATCCCAGGGCCAGTTGTGCTTGCTCACCATCTTCTTCAACTGGCACACAAAGGCAGCTTCCTGCGCTTCCATCTCCTTGATCTTCTGCTCGAGGATCCGCTTATGGACCTTCTTGCCAGCCTCGAACTTTGGATCGTGGATGAGCCGCCAATGCTGTCGCTGAGCGAAGAAATGAAGCAAAATCTTCCGCGCTCCAAACTTCGTCAGCGCACCGCCCAATTGGGCGTTGCCATTCACCCATCTGAGCTGGGTTTTGGCTTTCACAGCCTGGGACACAGCGAGCGTCAGCTCGTATCCTGCCCTGCTATCCCTCAAGCCATGGAGAGAGCTCATGTTCCTGGTCATCGCATCGAAGATCCCTTTGGAATCCATGACCAAGGCACCAGCCACCTCTTGCACCGCCAGGTGAAGATCTCCTCGTTGAAGTTCCACTCCACCAAGCTCTGCCAAAAGCATCCGAACTGCATGGTTCTGGTCTTCTCCAAGCGTAATTGCCTGGACCCCAGCGCCGTTCGGACCAAGGCACTGTCGTGGCGTTTTGCCACTCTTCCATTGAACCAGAGCCACCTGCGTCTCGACCCCCTGTAGGATCTCTTTGGGCGCGACGCCCGAGAGGATGCCCAAAGTGCTTGACCTGTCAGGCCTGTTGCGTTGGCTGGCATCAGCCCATGTCACCACTGCCAAGTCCTGGATCTTCTCCACCTGCCATGAAGATGGAAACGAAAGACCTTGTCCCGCATCTCTCCTCATCTCGCGAACCAACTTGTTGGTCTTATAGAGGGTTTCAATCGTGCCACGGCTGATCTCGCTCAACAAAAGGGAAATCTCTGCCAAGTACTGCGGACCAGTTTGGGTGCTTCGCCAACTCATAGTTCCAAGTGCTCCACGAAGCTGAGACACCTCTTGAGCATTCAGTGGCGTTTGCCTCGCCTTGGACTTGTCGATCTCGATCTCCTCAAGCCATTTCAAAGAGTAGGCCTCTTGGTTCAGAACGATGCTGAAGTCCTTGCCTTGCTTGATCAAACAGCCTGCGAAATCGAACTGCTCAATCTTCCACTTTCCCCATCGGAAGGCCTCGTTCAGGATCTTCTCTCTGCTCGTGTAGTAGGCCGACTCGGGGTGACCTGCTAGCAGAAAGTCGTCCACGTGCAATCCAGCCAGTCCTACCAGGACCTTGTTGCCAGCGCCGTCGGTCTCAAACAGGGAGAAAAGGCATTTGTCGCCACGAAGCTGAACCCATCCAGAAGCAACCAACACTTCAACACACCGCTCATACCATTTTCTCGGAACATGGGCGAGACCATAGAATGCCTGCTGCACCCGAAGAGCTCGGAGGTCGCCAGGCGGTGCTCCAAAAAGAGCAGAAAGCTCTGGCGTCGCCAAGACATTCAACTCCTCCTGCTCCAAGCTCGTGCCAGTCTGCAAGAAAGCAGATGTGACGTCACCTGCTTTGACGGTCATCTTCATCGATGGTGGGCTTGGAAGCCCAGTACCACCAAGCGGGCCTTAGCCGACCCATCACCCTTGCGGGTGAGCACCCACCGCATCTGCATCAGCTGAGCTGGATCTAGGCGGGCATGTTCCTCCTCCGTCAGGTTGCGCAAGGCTCTCGAGATGGAGACTTGCGAGAGCTCTTTTGCCATCGCTAGATCGAACTCCTTCTTCTCACATAGAGGCAGTCGCTTCCAGTCGATCTCTTTGCCCTTCTCAGCCGTTTTCTTGCTCAACCAAATGGCCCCTCTCCGCCTGTTCTTGTTCTTCGCCAACCATTCGAAGTCATTCTCGTCAATGTCCAAGGTGATCGCGATGAAGGTCTCCTTCTCCTCACTTGCTGCCTCCTCAGGCCGCGATTCACCATGCTCTTCATCAGGTTGGAGTTCCTCGGAACCATCAGATTCTTCATCAGACGGGGTTGAAGAGGTAGAAGAACTCGACGATGAAGCCTGCTCTTCACCCTGCGTTGGAGCTCGTCGGCCATCATAGAGGTCATACATGAAAGTCTGCCCCTCACGATGTTGATGGTGCCCTTCATGTCCTCCAGGGTAGGTCACATCCGGGTACAGCACATCGATTTGCACCTGATTCTCCTCGGAGAGGTAGATCATCCACCACATCAGGCCCTCGCTCCTGGAGTGCTGCTTGCAGTCCCTGTGAAGGCAGTTGTAGGCCATGTTGTGGATCTGTGGAAGCTCTTCCAGGTTCATTTGTCATCTCCTCCTCGGTCTCAACCTTCTCCTTGTCAATCTCGTCCGCTTTCCTCTTCTCTCCACGCCGGGCAGGCGTCTTCACCTTCTTAGCTGGCTGAGGATCAGGAAGCAGCTCAAAGTGGGTTTCAGTAGTCCTTTTGCCAGAGAGTTCATCGAGATTCACTGGGCGATGCATTGACCTTGCCGGGTTAAAGAGTCCAAGCCGCGGAAGATGGTGATGTCGGATCAGAAGTCGTTCACCTCCTTCACGTCGAAGAGACCATGTGTCTGACCTCATCCGCTCAGCAGCCGGCTCTTGCAAGACATCCGTTGGAGTCAGGTCGCGCATCTGCTTCTCCTCTGAAGGAACATCACCTGAGACATTAGCGTCCTTGAAAGGAACGAAGAAGCGTGTCCACTGACACAGGTTGGCGGTACACTGCCCCTTCCATCACTGCCCCAAGTTCTTCACGTCGAGAAACAGGACGAATTTGAGTGAGTTTGGCTCTCACCAACGTCGAACCTGAGCTCAACCAAGCAGTAGAACCTTCAAGCAAGATCACTCGCACTGGACCACTCCAGTGGCCCTTCACCTTTCCGGGCTTCACCTTCTGCCGCCAGAGCATCACAAGCTGTCCACTCTTGTACTGGGTGACTTTTCGGCCTGTGGTGTTTGCCAATTTTTCAAAGCGATCAGCAGCTCGTTCCTTCTCAAAAGGCCAACTTTGCACGCTGCCATTCCCTCGCCGATCGGCCAAAAGCAGCAACTGCTCGTCGTCCAGCACACCGCCGCCATGCCCGAAGGCCCACTGCAATGCGCTATGTCCGCTTGATCCAACATGCGCATTCATCGCTCCAGCCGGCATGGTGTAGAGGGCGGGGACGGACAGTCTGCTTCCTTCTTTGGCCAAACGCTCCACAGTGCGCTTTGCAATGCCAATTGCTCGCTCCTCCGGACCCATGATCCAATGCTTGGAGGACCGGCCTTGTTAGTAAATGGATAGACCACTTGGCCTACTTGGCTAAGTCTCCTAACTTGAGTTATAAGTCTGCTAACCTCAGTTGTAAGTCTGCTAACTAGAGTTATAAGTCAGCCAAGTAGGCCGGCCATTTTAGCGGACTTGGTATGTAATCATGGTCTTGTCTAAGTAGTTATCAAATGCCCTAACTAGGCTGGCGCAGTTAGCTAACTTATAACTCTAGTTAGCAAGCTTATAACTGAGGTTAGCAGACTTATAACTTGAGTTAGCATAGCTAGCTAAGTAGGCCAAGTGGCCTATCCGTTTACTAACAAGGCCGGTCATCCAAGTGTGCAGCAGGGGCAATGCTTAATCCCACACCAGAACGTCCAAGATGCTCTGTGAAGGCGCTTGATGTATAGTACCGAGCTGAATCTGCCAAGACCCAAGTCGGAGCCGGGTAGATCATCACCCATTTCCAGAAAGAGCGAACCACATCTTCTGTCTTCGGCTCCCAATTGCCCTTATACTCCTGAAGGTGGTCAATGAGGGTCAAGCCAGATCCACGATCTCGCCAAATGATGAACTTGTTCTTGATGCCGGTGGCATCTTCATGTTCAAAAACATCAGTGCCAAGGTGCGAAAACACAGGAGGCATCTCGCCAGCGCTAGCCGGTGGTCGAGGTCGTACTTGAGCAGCTTCTCGACATTCAGGACACTCCAAGTTCGAGGCCAATTCAATCGCCCAGCCAGGAGAGCCACGCGCCTTGAGCAACTGCACCAAGTTGGACATACCAGCGTGACCACTAGCTCTGTGTACTCTCAGCATCAACTGCTTGACAGCCTCTAGCTTCTTGCCTGTTGGGGCGGTCTCCAAATTCAGCTTGTTCCTCGAGAGTGCAAACACATGCTCCTCATGTCCTCCTCCAGGTACTGGATCGCGAAGGTCAGATGAAGAGACCAGGTCCTTTGCTGTGGTGTCATTCTCAAGCAAGTAGGTCTCCACCGATCTCTCCAGGGAGTTCTCCTGTCGCTTCCAGTGATGAGACATGGTCTTGCAAATGTCCTGGCACATCTTCTGAGGGTAGTATGCTGATGATTGTGCCGCAGAACCACGGCAAACAGCATGTTCATGGCTTCTGTCGCATCTCTTGTTCAAGGAAAGCCAGAGTCCCCGACTTGTAGTCAGAATCGTCCATGACTTCTTTGCCGTTGAAGTCCAGAAGCACATCCATCAATCCGAATCCAGTGAAGTCGCCGGTTGTGCTTTGCCGCCAACCGATGAAGTCGCGCAATGGCTTTGGACTTCCAACCAGCTGTGGCAGTTGTCGGCCACTCCCATGCAATGTCATCTCCACTCTCAAGCACCGGCTCCAGGCTTTGAACCACCTCATCATTCCTGCAAAGATCTCGTCCTCGTCGATGTAGGAAGCGGTCCATCTCTTCTGGAGTTCGTGGAGTGAGATTCTGAAGAGCTGAAAGTCGGGTACATGACATTGATACCCAGGTCAGTCGTGGCTTGGTCTCCGCAATGGGCGTCGCCAGCTTTGCGGTTCCATGTTTGGCATCCAGGTTAAAGCCGGTCAAATAGTTCACCCGAAGACCTGTATAGCCATGGTTCTGGAATGTCGCCGTCAATGTAGAGTTGGGCGAACAGGCTATCTCCATGATGTCCACTTGAGGACTCACTGCACCGATCATCTCCCGAACAGGTCCCATCAAGGTGCATGTCAAAGCTGCGGCCATTGCTAGCCGTCGGGCAAGTGAAGGTCGCACTTGCTTCTCGGTCATATTCGTCACCGCGTAGAGCTCCTCAATCGTGGAACTCGGCATCGAAGAAATTCGCGCGGTAGGGCGTGTAGAGCTCATGCCACACTTCGTAGTGCTCGTCGTGTGGATGGATGGTTGCCATCCTCATAGTTGGAGTTGCGTGTTGGGCTCAAATTGGAAGTTGCAGGATTGATGTCCTTGTCGGCCTCCAGCTGACACAGACATGATGCCTTGTTGCAGGCAGATTCCGTCACGTTGCTCCTCAGTCGCCGCAAGCTCGACCAGATGCCGCTCACTCCGCCTTCTTCGACTCCGTCTCGGAGTCCGGAATCTCCTCCACCGTGTCCTCGGAGTTCACGCTCATGGCAATTGGTCCCCGCGTCGCCGTCGACGCCATAGGCCGCCCAGCATAGCCCTTGTCCAGGATCTCCTTCTTCACAGGGTTGTCCTGCGGCTTTTCCTTTCCCTTGCTTGGGGATCGGTTCTTCTTGGAGTCGCTGGCTCACTGTCCTCCTTGTTCTTCCGAGTCGGGCTCGTCTTTCGAGTCTCTCCGCAAGCCGTCGATGCCATCAAAGCTTCTCCCAACTTCTCGTCCGCTCGGACTTGCACAGTACCAAGATGCGACCCCTGATTTCCATCAGCTTCCCGTTGAAGATCTTCTCTGTCATCTCTGATGGCTTGAAGTCGGGCCGGGCTTGCTCCACTTGACCTGGGGGCGGGCCAATTGCCCTGGTCTGTCCAGTCGCCTTGCCCTTGGTCACGTAGCGAAGACGTAGACCGCATCGAGAGCATGCTTAGCCACATCGCCGATCCATTCGCCCGCTCCTTGCCAGGAAGGCGCTTGCCATGGCATGGCCATCCAAGATGTCGAGGGTCGTGATCCGTGGCCGGGGGGCATGCCTTCATCCTCTAGGTGGGATGGGGTAGGCTTCTCGATGCTCTTGCAACCGCTGAGCCAAGATGCTGAGGCGGTCGTCAAACTCAGACAATCCACTCTTCGTCACCATCATGATCACGCCGTTCAATGGAATGGCGCTGATTGCCAATCTTCATGAACTTCTACATGTTGTGACTCATCTGGTTGAGGAAAAGTTGACAGCTGCGTGACTGCACTTGACTCATGTGGGTGTGTCTCTGGAGGATGGGTCTCCATGTCTTCAACACGCGACGAACGACAGTCAGCTGCAGAAGGCGACATGCATTCACAGGGTGCAGGAAGCTCCGAAGAAGGTCGCTCCTCTGTGGCTCTTGCAGCCGTTGAGGGCTCGGCCATCGGTTCAACGACCACTGATGGCGAAGTTGGAGAATAGTTGGAATCTAGCTCTAAGGCAGGCCGCCCAGCATGTCCATCACCACTACTGCCCAAGGTCACAAAGCAATCAGGATGCTCCCGCTGGTTGGCACCCAATCTCACCGTAGTCTTTAACAAACGGGCAGTAGGATCTTCTCGCTTTCTCTTCGCCTCTCGATCTTCACCTTCAAGATCACGAGGTCCTTCGTCTCGAACTTCTCCAGAACGTCCACCTTCGGGAGGAGTCCGCCCAGGTGGAGGATGGTTAGGAGGTCGAGGTTGATCGTCATCTCCGTCACCATCGTTCTCATGATCATCATTGCCGCCAAAGCCACCCGTGCCGTTGAAGGGTGGCCCATCCAGATGCTCCAGTAGGAGTCGTAGAGGAAGACGGCGGTTTGCCAGGGACAGGGTCAGGTGACCTCCTAATTGATCAACTCATTGGCAAACCATGCTCCATTGTGACCACGATGTGCCATGTAGTCACCATGGTATGAGATCACAGCTCGTCGCTTCCGCATGTCACGGGCCCCAAGCAACAATGGAGTCATCTCCGCACCACCGTTAAGGAGGTAGAAGCTCAACCAGCCAAGAGCTGGAGTGTGTAGCCAGACCTTGGACGCCGCTCTTTGGGATTCACCATTCCCAAACTTGAATCGAGGCCTCTCGGAGATGTTGACCTCATAGGTGAACAAGTGGGAATCCAGGACCTTGGCCATCGCACGAATCCCAGCAACCGACTCCGTCGCCCCAGTGTCCAAGACAACCTTAGACGTTCCAAGGCTCTCCAAATCAGTCTGGTCGAAGAGGCTCATGACATAGATCTCAGGAACCCATTCAGCTTCTGCAAGAAGGTCTTTCCTTTCTTGCCCTTAGAGCCTCCCTTGCCCTTGCCTTTTCCACGTCCACCAAATGAAGAGCTCCTCGACGAGGATGGATGCACCTTTCTTGCCACCTTTGGACCAGCGGTCAGGGCACTTCAGATACCTGTGACCGGGCTGACCGCAGACGAAACACGGTCCGAAGCCACCTCCAACGCCTTTGCCCTTGCCATGCGCTGGCCCCTTTCTCTTGCCCTTGCCGCCACCAAGACTTCCAGGATGTCCTTTCGTGCCCGTAGGATCAAAGTAACCCCGTGCAGCACGAACACGAGCAACAGCCTGTCTTGCTTCGGCCAATGTCTTGTTGGCCTCCGTGGCCAACGCAAAGGCTTCTTCAACTCGCTGCTCATTCTCGAGCTCCTCCTTCGTCTTCTCCTCCGGCTCCTCCTGGTAGTAGTCATTCTCCTGGGTGTAGTCCTCATAGGAGCCACCATCGTCCCAGGAAGTTGGACACCATGACGGGCTCCAGTCATTTCAGAAGATGTCCTCACTCCACCAACTTGGATCTTCGCTCCACCAATCGTCTTCCATCTCCCAATCCTCACCATCATCGGCCGCATACCAGACAGAGCGTCTTGGCGGCCTTCCAGGATCGTCAGCTTGATCAGCACCATCAGAAAATAGCGATCGTAGAGCTTGCCTGATCTGGGTGAAGTGGGTCGAGTTCTTCATCAGCGTGAGCACATGCTGACGTTCAGCCTGAGTGAGCTTGGCTGCTTTCAACAACCTGTAACCCCTGAGCTCACGCTCAAAGAATCCAGCGTCCTCGCCCTGGGAGGTCTCGACAACCTTCTCATCCTCAGCCTCGAAGGAATCGTCTTCTCTCACCGAACTCAATCCTGCTCTCGTCACATTGGGTGACCTTGTGGGGGACATAGGAGGGTCCCTTTCGCTCGCTCCAACACCCATGGACTTCACCTCATGGCGAGCTCGTTCATGGCGTGCACGTTGTAGTGCCTGCTGGGGCTCTGTGAAGAGCTCTTCCTCTCTCACCAGCAGCTGTGGGATCGCCTCGCCATGAGCTCGCTTCAAACCTGTCCATTTCTCCAATCTTGAGAAGCTATCAGGGATTGGAAGCTGCTGCAATGGCGAGTCTCTGAGTCTGAGGACCCGCAGGAGCTTCTCCAGGCCAGTGTCAGAGGAAAAGTCCTTTGGATCAAGGTGGCGAACCACCGATTTTGCAGCGCCCTGCAATCTCTGCCAGATCCGCGGCGCCGCGAGCTTTCTCTCCGTCTCCTTGAGGGAGCATTCAAACCACCTGCACGATGTAGCGAATGCTTCAAATGAAGACGGGTCACCGTCCCATATCGGGACATCTTCGGCCGGCATGGCGCCAGCCACCCAAAGGCTCCAGGCTCGTCACCAGGGAGCTCCGCCTACCATGAAAGGCAACGGACCTGCCAAAGGTCAAAAAGCAAGGACCGTCGTGGTCCTCGAACGCGAACGCGCCGCTCCGTTTCTCAGCCCCGCCCTTCCGGGGCGACGTGTCAAAGGTTCATGACATGCGACCTCATGCGCACAATTAATAAGTTTGCAGCACTGTGGAATTCCGGATCACATGTCTCTTGACTTGAAAAGAAGAACACCTCATCCACGTACTCGTCTACCATGGTTCTACACCACCCCGCACCTGATAAAAGAGCTTGTACTCAGTGCGAAGAAAGCGCTGGATTCGAGCAATGTAGATTCCATTGCACAAATCCTCTGGCTTGGAAAGAAAGAATAAGGACATGACTGAAATGATGAACACAAGGTAAGAGTCCCTTTAATGAGGGCCCCTTTAAAGGATCCTTATTGAAGGAGCCCTTAAAGCCCTTATCTTTAGAAATGTATGTGAACGGATTCTGCGTGAAACTCTACTATCAGATTGTCCTCCAGCAGCGAGGTGTCAGGGATCTCCTGTGATCTAGCCATATTGTGTGAAATTGCTCAACACACAAATCTCACAAATATTTGCTAAACTCATGAGATGTCGCTTTTGCATGTGTCTGCGTTCTCAATATGCTTTGTTGTTCGATCCAATCTCTGGTTCCACCCAATTGAAAGAATAAATATTTGCCTATACATATACAGGACACTGTTATTCTCTCTGTCTGTTGTTCCTCAGCTTGTCCCTTCTCGGAGTTGAGTGTTGATTTGTCCAGTCTGTAGTGTAGCACTGTGATTTCCAGCACCATGTATATAAAGCTCAACCAACAATGAAGCAAACACACACACTTGAGAAGGTTGCTCCGTGGAGCGCGATTTCAGGCTGCTTCGCGGTGTGCATTAGCCCTTTAGAGTTACTGCAAATTAGACCTTGACTGAAAAGAAGTGCAAAGTCAGTCAACAGGAAGGTTTGAACATATCGAGTTAAAATTATGCAGGTACAAGTGGTTGATCAGACCACTCATCCACCGAAATGCCACAGCTTCGTTGGACTGGATAGGCAAATCGGCTCCAGTCCCCCTGCTGCTGTACATTGGTCAGAAAAATCGTAGGGTAGGTTAGAAAGAGTTAGGGTAGTGTCCTTGGAAACAGGAGTGGACACACACAAAGAGCCGAATCGGCGCAACTAGACGGGATCAGAAAATACCTGTGTAAGAAATAGTGGTAGGGCAGGACGTCGAAAAGGAACTTGTAGATTATAAATCATAAAATGAAGTGAAGGACTGCGAGTCTGCCGGCGCGTGGTCTTTTTTCTCTCGTGGCCGCAGCGCCGCGACGCAGTGTTCTTTGGAATGACCTTTTGTCACATAGAGCTGCATCAACTGCTGTGCTGTGGCAGGTGCGAGGTGCTGTGGGTATGTGTATTTTCGTAGAGTGTGGTGGCGTGACTGTAAGCCTGAAAGGCGTAGTCTGTGACTCCCCGCTGACTGCGGATCACGAATCTGCCAGGGATGTGTGGGGAGTAGAAAGGTGACGGTTCTGTTGAGGGGATCGATCAGGAAACCAAGGAGATGGTCGTCGTCCACTGGCTCTATTTCGACTGGGTGTTCATAAAATTCGGGATGGGCCAGTGTGGTGATGGGGAGCGCTGATCTGTATTGTTCGTTGAGCAGGATATAGCGGTTGTCCACGTAGCGTGTGTTGAGCAGGTGAAGGCTGGGTTGGTGCAGAAAGGTGTGGTAGGTGGTTAGCCAGGTGTGTTCGATGAGCGTGATTGCAACGTTGCAGAGTGCAGGTGAAAGCTGACTACCAATGCCTGCTCCTTGAATTTGTTTGTAGTAAGTGTTACAGGATTGAAAAATGCATGATTGAAGGGCTTGTTGTACTATTAGGGGGATGCGCTGAGTGTCGAGTGTGCGTTGTTGTGGGTGGTGAATGTAGCGTCGACCGATGTGGGAGTGTTGAATGGGATTGCCGGTGGATTGGACGTCAATGGTGATGGTGGTAGTGGCGTGTTGAGCTTTCCAGCGATTGCATAGGCTGATGACTGCGTCAACGAGACGTTGTTGGGGTACACTGTTGAAGAAGCCGACGAGGTCATCATTGATCGGTGTGAGGTGAATGTCGTCAGGTGTTGTTTGGAAGTGGTTGTGAAGGTGTTGCCATAGGTTGGGGATGGAAAGTTGGCCTGGATGTTGAGGCAGAAGATGAAGAAGCATAATGTCCAAGGCCTTGGAGGTGGCCCGCAACAATGTGCCTGCTATAGATTTGAAGTAGCTGATGACTGTTCTTCCTTTTCGCCATGACTTCTTTTGTTTGAGGAAGACTACTCCGCGTGGTGTGTGGAATTGTTTGCGGAAACCCCATGGGTAAGCTCGTCGTATGTTGGCGGGGAAAGATTGAGTGAGCAGTTGGTGGAGTTGTTGGGCCGTGAGATCTGGTAGTGGTAGAAAAAGTTGTGGTGTGTTCCAAGTGGTGAGACATCCGTGGAAATAGTGTTGTGGGCAGAAAAGTCGTAGATTTTGTAGTTCGTGATCGGCGTGATGTAACACCAGCTTGTCTGTGAGGAACTGCTGCAGTTGTGTGACATTGCGTGATGTGAATCGTGGTGTGTGTAGGATGTGGTCAATGTGTTGTTTCCATTGTTGGTGTAGAAAAGGTAGGCTGTGTTGGTGAAGGGCGGTAGGTAAACCATGGTGTCGTAGCCATTGAGTAAGTTGTTGTTGGAAGTGTTGAAAATATTGTGTCTTCGTGGGAAAGAAAGTGCTGTTCATGTTGGCTTGTAAAAAGGTTTGAAGATGGCTGGGTAGCTGCAGGTCATCGAGTGTGAGCACGTAGCGGCCATCGTAGAGCGGCGGTGTGTGGTTGGGTCGAAGTAGGGAGTGCATGTGGTGGCAGCTGCATGGCATGTCGGCCGCTGAGGGTTGTGCTGAGAAGAGTTCCTCCCACCGTTTGTGATTGTACAGCCTTGATCGTAATGTCTTGTGCGCTGCTTCGCGTAGTTTTGTGGTGGGTGGATGGAATGGTATGACGTGATGCATGTGGTGTTGAATCAATGTGCGAAGCCATTTTTCAGTGGAGGAAGAGAAAGTACTGTGGGAGAGGAAAGGGATGGTGAAGGGCTTGTTGGCTTTGGTGGAGTGAGGTTGCGGAAGCTGAGTGCTGAATGTATAAGGTGAAGGACTCGTGATCGATCGGGTTCTTCTAAGCTGGCGGCCATGCGACGGAAGGCATAGATCTCGAGATCAGTATATTTGCCGCTGCGGATGGCTGTTGAAGTTTCAAAAGATGAATGTGTATGTTTGCTGAGTTCTCGTAGAACTGTCAGCGCATGTAAGCGTTGACTTGTGTGGAGGTGGGGCTGCTTGATAGTGTTTTGTCGTCGTCGAAGCCGTTGGAAAAGACGTTTGTGAGTGGACATGCGTGTGAAAGTGGTGCGATGTTTTGCGAATTGCCAGCCGGAGGCCTTGAGTTTTAGATGTCGTTGAATGTATGGCCAATTGAGGGTGGGTTGCCATTCTTGTATCCGCAAGTGCTCATAGGTCCAAGCTTGATCGTAAGTGTCGTGGTGGGAAAGGTAGATGGTACTGTAGTGATGGAGGTTGTTCTTGGAATGCCAGTAGCGTAGGGATAGCTCAGCCGAAATTGGATGGTTGTTGTGTAATTGTTTGAGTTTGGCATGGCGGTTGTATTCTCGCTTCGGTATGGTGATGCTAGTGGAGCCGATGTAAGTGTGCCCATGCTGGTGGTGTTGGTGTGTGGTATGGTGCTGGTTGAAAAAGAGTTTTGCATAAACTGCATTTGGATGTGTGAACATTTGGTAATGGTAGGTGTGTGGGGTGACATGTAACTGGTTGAAACGTGAGCGCCATTGTATGGAGTGGTGTGTTTGAGATGGAAAGGCAAAAAGGCATGTAAGGTGAATAAGACTGACGGAGAAAATCACGTGGGTCTTGTCTATGTAGGGTGTGAAGTGGACAAAGTGTGAAAGTGCTGTGTGAAGTGTGGTCAAGGATTGTAGTGTGAGATGTGTTGGTTGATGCAGCGCTTGTTGTGCGAGTCAGGCTGCTAAGGCCGAACCCGCGGCCACCAGCTGCTGTAGTGAACGTGGTGGGAGCTTAAGTACCCGGGTGAGCGGGATGCCGTAACGGGTGGCGGCCTCTTGGAGCTGCTCTTTTGTGATGCGTTCGTCGCGAAGAATTTGCTGGATGTTGGTGACTTGTGTCTGAGTGGCTGGTGGTAGGGTCTTGAGCCATTTCTGGATGCCTGCTGCTGCGTAGTTGGCTGGTGAGTTGTCGTGTAGCGTTTGAGTAGTGGGGTTGAGAATGGTATTGGTTGTGAGTGCGGCTGGGGCTGTAAGTGGGAGATGTGGTTGGGGTTGGGAAGCTGAAGATGGGGCTGGGTGTGTTCCTGGTTTTGTTGGTGTAAGCGCAATGCCGTGAGTTTTCAATTTGTCGCGAGCGCGTTGGAGTTCGCTCTCTTGCTGTTGTAGGCGATCTGTCTGTAGCTGAAGTTTTCGGAGTGCTGTACCTTCGCCTGCGGGTGGTGTGAGGCCTCGTAGGAAGTCAATGATGCGGGAGATGAGTGGTTGCATAAATTGCTTGGCTTCTGTCGTTTTGTTTGGGATGGATTGATCAGCTTGTTGGTGCAAGTATTCGGCAATGCTGTCAATGTCCAAGTTGTGGGCTCGCATCTTGGGCAACAATTGTGAGGTGAACACTGCTTCTGCAATGGATCTGGTGGTGACGATGCCGGTGTAGCGTCCTTGGGATAAGGTACGAAGGCTGTGGTCCTGGAGGCCAAAGCGACTGAGCTGCCAAGGAAAGATGTCCAGGACTGGCTGCCCTGCCAGATTGTATTTTCTGGACAATTGTGTCGGCTGGATCGTCTGGAATAATGTTTGACCATGTACTGTATTGGCGTCAAGGTGTGTGTCGCTGGGGGTCCATGTGTCTGGTAGGGAGGGGATATTGGGGGGTACAACGCCAAGCTGTGGAGGCGTTGGGTGGTGGGATGCCGGGGGTGGGGGTAAGGGTTCGGGAGGGAATGCTGCAGGAGGAGCTGTGGAAGCTGTGGAATGGTCGGTCGTGGTGTTTGCATGAGGTTGGTGATAGGGATGGTAGTGATGACGTATTGCATTCGTAAGGGGTCCATAGCCAGCACTGGGTGTCGTGGTACCGTAGTATTGTTGCCACCATTGTTGATGCGCATCCATGATGGGGAACAAGGTAGTTCCGCAAAAAGAGCGTTGAACACGAGGAGTAGTCGAACTGTTTTGAACCACAATGGCTGGAGTGTTCGAATGAAGGCCAATCTCGAAAATTGGGCAACGCTCCAAAATAGTACTGATACCAGAAAACAAATATCATGGAATTCATGGAAAATCATGGAACATGGAAAATCAAGACTGGATATGTTTTGCAATAGCTGGCGGGATCGGCAAGCTAAATACACTGAGTCAAAAACCATGTACATTGAGTCAAGGACCAGAAATCAGGTCTAATGCCCTCTCACGGTGGAGCTCCAGCATC